ACGCACGCTTAGGCATCTAGTGTAAATATATTTGGGGGATATTTATATCATTATAAACTACATTACTGAAAAACCAACACACAGTGAAACACAACAAATGTAAACAAGGTAGCCGGTCTTCCTCCAAGCATGCTGATCGTTAAAAAGGCTGTACTTCAGATAATTAAAATGAGAAAACAGACAAACCAGCCCAAATCCCAGTTCTGATGACCTGCATCATCCTCATGTATGATCTACACCCATGTGAGCATTTTTCTGAAGCGGCTCTAATTAGTCCTCTTCCTGGACCTCCCAATCCTCAAATAAACAAACATGTTTTGTTTTGTTTTTTAAACCATCAGACACAGAGTCCTTATCTATAAAAGAGCACAGTCATCCTTAACTACCCTGCTATTTCCCTCAGCCACTGAGACATGCCCACCTACACCTACATATGGACACACCCACTCTGGGACACGGCCCACACAGAGACACACCCACTCGGGGACACGGCCCACACAGAGACACACCCACTCGCGGACACGGCCCACTCACAGACACGCCCACACAGAGACACACCCACTCACAGACACGCCCACACAGAGACACACCCACTCACAGGCACGCCCACTCACAGACACGCCCACACAGAGACACACCCACTCACAGACACGCCCACTCACAGACACGCACACACAGACACACCCACTCGCGGACACGCACACACAGAGACACACCCACTCACAGACACGCACACACAGAGACACACCCACTCACAGACACGCACACACAGAGACACACCCACTCACAGACACGACCCACACAGAGACACACCCACTCGCGGACACGCACACACAGAGACACACCCACTAGAGGAAGGATCTGCAGTCCATTGTGGGCTGCTGTCTGTGACTGACTCCCTTAATGTATATTCCTAACCTGTAAACTGTTACATATTTAATAATATTTAAATGGATTTTAGTATAAGAGGAGTTAGCTTGGCTAGTGGAATGTTAAACTACATGAATAATAACATCAAAGTACCAAACAATATTGTATCTTGTAAGTCCTTCACATTGTGACAGCATAATTACACGCAAATATATATCACCCAGTATACAGTTACCCTGCAAAACACCACAACACCGGTAATTACAGAAACATGGTATCTTAGCACAGAAAGAAGTGAACATGCCGGATTGAGCCAGCTTCAGTGCCATTTATAAGGAACACATTTCGCCACGCTTTGGTGGTGTTTAAAGGGCCGTCTGAACAGCATCATAAAAGTTTTATTCATGCGACGCGTGTAAAACCTTCAGAGAGACGTTCGCATAGAGAGTGAACAAGCAGAATGAATCCTGAGGCTCATTCTGTGGTAATGAGCCTCATTAGCAATGAGGACAGTCCAGGCACTGAAATTACTTCACGCATACAAGGATGTGTGCTGTGCGTGTAAAGCACACCGCTGGCTAAAGATGGAGCTTTGACGGATGCTTTCTAACACAGCAGGGTGTTTACGTCCTCCCCCTGTACAGCAGGCACAGCATGCCAGGGCCCCAACCTCACCAGGCAGCCTGAAGAACATCTAAACATGGGGGTCTTGCACCAGAGATCCTGGGATTAGTCCTGGCCGCTAGTCCTCCCGCTGCCCCCCGATTCCTCAGCCTTGCTCCGCATTCCAGTCTAACCCCCAAAAAGCCAGTCGCTCCTTCATGGACATGATGCACCCAGAACCCCCCTGAAACCCTAAAATCTGCAGAGATAGGGCTCTCACTGGCAGAACTCAGCAAATGACTGAAGCTTCACCGAGAGGCAGAATCCCACCAGCAGTCAGTAAAACCGGAATTCCAGGTTGTCTTGGCAACCCTGTCGGAGGAAGCCTTTGAAAATGCCTTGGATCCATGTGCAGGAACCCGCAAAACTTCACAGTCCAAGCCCTCGTGATCAGAAAAGCCCGTCTGCCGGACCAAGGTCTAATGTGTTTTCCAAACCGTTACCTGTCATTGGCCTGAAGAGCAGAACAGACACACCCCAGGAGGGGAAAAAGAGCTTCCCCATAATGCAGACAGTGTCCCCACCCCCCGAAATGGAGAGGATGGGATAGAGAGAGGAGTAGATAGGATGAGATGGAATAAAACAGTAAGAACAGGCCATCCAGTTCACAACACACAGAAAAGCAAAATGATCCCCAGTGTTACTGGTAAGGAGTCACATGCCTAAGGACTCAGACCAGCAATCCAGTGTTGCTTCCATGGCATGTCAGTTTTTAAAGGAGCTGTGCCTCAGCCCCATGAGAAGGAAACTTTAAGGGACTCTCTAAAAAGGAGAGAGCGCCCCCATGTGGAGGGAGGGAAATGACAGCCACCATGGGTAGGCCAGTCCCCATTACGCCCCCAGCTGCCAGCCCACACAGAGGACATTTGGCTAATAATGGCTCCCCCTCCCCCTCCCCGGACATTTTTTCGCACCTCCAAACTGACTATTAAACGAGCTTTTCATAAATTAACTCCAGAGATTTAATTAAAACCGACTTCGCCTTAACTGACTGAGGTTTAGCGATGACCTTGTTTTTTAATCACCGTGAGGGGACAAGCGAGGAGTGCGGCTGCCGTTTATGGGGCCCGTCTTAATGTTATCACTGCTTTTTTTAATCATCTAAATATATTTACCAGAGGAAAAGACACACTGACCCCCCTTTTATTCCAGAGAGAGTCTGCCTACCCACAGCCATTAAGAAAAACACTAACGAGGCTTCACTTTCCAGTCTTCCCGGTCCGCTAGAAGGTCTGAGAGGTAGTAGCACGCCAAACCAGGAGAAAGCAGGAAGGTACCAATGAAGGTATCCATTAAATGCAAAGGTGGAACAGTTTGCACCCCTAGCCCCCTGTCTGAAAGCCCCGCCCCCTAGCTGTTGGCTCTGGGTATCCCTGAGCGAGGTGTTCACCCTAACCCTGCTTCAGCTTGATGTTCAGCTGTAGAAGTGGGTCATAAACTGTCAGCCGCTTTGGATGGAGGTGTCAACTGTAACAAGGCAGAAGTAATTAAAACTCCTAGTCACGTAACTCATTTGTTGCGTGTCAGATTGCGCGAAATCACGATAGGAAGACTCGCAGGCAGGAAAAGACGGCGTACAACTAAGTCCAAGCCAGCCGGGGGCTCCGTCACGTAGGCACAGGAGCCACGCATCACAGCCGTGCCAGACGGATGGCAATCTAGCGGTTTGATGTTCAAGTTTCTTGATAATCATTACAAACAGTTTGGGGCCAGTCACACCTAAAACGACCGTGCAGCTGGGGATAACCCTCACACCACAGTGCGCACAAACACACCACAGTGCGCACAAACACACCACAGTGCGCACAAACATAGAGAATCCGCGATCCCCCGGGAGCTACCAGTCTTGGGGATACAGAATCATCACTGCACCTAGACATGAGATAATGCCAAATCTCACCCCCTCCCTAAAAAAACACACTGCTTTCATCTGGAAGACGTTTTCTTTCAGTTTGGACAAATAAAACAAACTAGCACCAAAACCAACAAGGAGCTGCCCATCACTGCACAATGTTGACTGTGATTATGGAGGACATTAGGTGAATTATAAGGCTCTCTATAGAATAATCGCATGTCCATTTTTTTTTGCAAAGACAAACCTCAGACAGGTCTAGGTCCCACAGAGGTCTCCGATGGACCCATCTCAAGGTGATAAAATATTCATGAGGGTGCTAACAGCCTTTTAAAAGAGCCCAGAGTCACAGATACTAGCGGATTTCCAGCAGTTTCATGACTGCAAGAGAAAATGCTTGTTTCTGAACACAAGTCTCAGGTTTTCTCAGAAAAAAAAGACTTTAGAGAATCTCCACAAATTAATGTGTCAACAGGGGCAGCAAAACCTTGACCCCAAATATTACTGAAGGGAAATCCGGTCCCCTAAAGGTGGGTGCCAGGGGCCACATTTAAGCAGAATAAAAATGATCAAACCTTTAAGAAAACCAACCAACCAAACAGTACCTTAAACCCCCCCACTCAGGTAAGCTTGAGAGATCAGCTGCAGTCAATCAGATAATGGAAAGCTGACAGTGCTGATGGCTGTAAAAGATTGTTCAAAGTGCATTTGTTTTGAAAATAGATCGATTTTCCGTACATGATGCCTGACAGGCCCATATGTCTTTGGATTCCTCTCGCTTCAGCAAATCTAATTTAGATAATCACGCGGGACGTTGGCCCCTCACTCTGTCGCAATGTTTTTAACCCGCGTCCATCCATCTGGACCACTCAATTCCACAGAATAATTAAGCATATCCTAAAACGAGGGGAAGACGGATGACCACTCAGGGGGCACACTGGGGGCGGGGTCACACTGCAGCCCCCCTCAGCCTGTCTGCTGATTAACAGGGCTTTGGTTAGAGGAATCACCACACTGTTCCAAATAATGAAGCAAAGACCTGAGGACATGTAATCTGGAAAGTAGCATGGGCTGGGTTGACCCTACACTGGCTAAGAATAGGGGACTGCCCCTCCCAGACCCTCTAGCTCCCCCATCAAGATTATTGTTCAGGGGAGACCGAATCAGGGGAGATTACAGTATCACTTCGAAAAAATGACCCTGTTCAAATACTGCCCCAGTCTTCCCTATGTAATTCATATTGCACTTGTATGGTTAGCAAAATAACAAATAGCACATTACTACGGCTCCTGATAGCACTGCATTTAAAGTAATAGCAAAGTGCTTTGCCCAGATTGTCACAAGGCAACAAGCTGCTCAAACAGCTGTGTGCCTTCTCTACACACTACACAGAAACCTGCAGCTCAGCATGAAAATACTCTCCTGTCACTGGATGATACTCCTGTCTGTAATATGTGCTAACCAGAAGGTCATCTTTGACTGTCCAATGGGGATCTTTCAGGGGCGGGCATTTTAAAGACAGCCCAGCCACCATCTCAGTACACCAGCCTATCAACCCCCCCCTCTACAGTTCGCCATCGTACTCATGCCCCTCCCCTGGTCGGCTTCCACTCACCTTATGCAGATGAGAAACACCCATAAAAGTGACAGTGGAGGTTGGCATCCACTAGACCGGAGCCACGGCAACCGCTGCGCCGTTAAACCTGAAAGACCAGATCCCACACACTTCAATATTATACACATTTCATCTTTGAAGTACACGTTGTGCATTAAAAAGACTGTACTTCAACTCAAACCTGGTTTCAATTAGGTCAGAAGACTGGATCGACTGAATAAAACCTTTAGATGTTCAACGTCTGACATCTGCAGAGATCATTTAACTTCAGACACCCAAGCAGGTCAACAAACGGACACAAACTGACGTCCCATCGCACCAGTAGAAGGTTTAAAGCCTTGTATGTGTCTCTGTAGGCTGCAGAGCATTCATCCGCTCGGGCTCTGACAGTGAAATCAGCATTACGGCCCAGAAACCCACCTGCTGCGTGCTGCAGGCTTGTTAAAATTTCAGCCTTTCATCCTCTCGGGGAAGCCTTTTCCCTAGAGAACCTGGATTTTATGGTGAACAGGAGACCTGATCAGGGAGATGTGCTAACCTTGGGCCTGAGAGAGAGGAGACTGAAACCTTTTAAATCAGAGGAGTTTCTGCACAGGCAAATGCCAGGTCATCTACCTGGTGACCATGGTGACAGCGGAACACTCAGGACTGTAGGTCACCCTGGCTGAAGAATGAGCCAATGGGAGGCCTTACTTAGGGAGTGGTGTTACACTTCACACAAAAAAAACATAAAATGGTGGACAGGAGCAGGCAGGGGTCTAAGAAAACAGCACGGTATACAGGAGGAGTTACTGCAAAGTACTTTAATTAATTAGAGGCTTATGTAAATCAGGATAGAGTTGGACAGCTGTAGGACGTAAACATGACCCACAATGTTGAATCCGGCCTTCAAAAAAAATTAAAAAATAAAATTGCAGTTCCCCACTGAGGTTCACAGAGGAAAAACATTAAACATTAAAATTAGGTTTGAAATCCAGCATTTTAATCCCTCAAACAATGTAACAAAGGGAGCCGACGAGGGAAGAGAATGCTGATGGGAATCTGTGCTCAGAACGTTCTGGAAACATGGATCCAGCTGCTGCCTTTCCAGGATACAAAGCCATGCTCTTAGCTCGTGTCACAAAACATGTCGTCTCTTGCCTTTCAGTGCTCTCATAAAAATTCATATATAGATATATTTATAACTAACGATTCCATATCGATTTCAGATTTCAGGATGTTTGGAAGAGGCTTTGTAATGTTTGTGCACCTGTGAGACCAGAGGACACAGGAAAATGGAGTCCCAAAAAAGAATCAGCTTTGCTAAACAGAGGGTAGGGTTAGGCAGGAGGTTGGTTGTGGTGGTGGAGGTCAATATAGATCCTGTAATATTTATAAATTAGAGGGGTTATGAAGGGGGACACACAGGGATTCCGCCAAATTGAGCTACATCGCAAGGTGTCTCGGGAATGGACCAGTATGGTTTAGATTGGCGGCCTTTTGCCAAGTGGACCAGAACCTGGAACGTTAAGCCTGAGGTCAAGACTCCTCTGCCGCACTAAAGGCACCTCAGAGACCCAAGCAACATGGGGAGGATGTATAAACTCCACAAACACAGAGGACGAGTCGAACCCTCAACCCTGGAGCTGTGTGACACCCCACTGCTACCGCACTGCAGACAGAGCAACAGAATATATTTTTTCCCTTTCCCCCACCCACCCGCATAGATGGAGAGTAGCACAGTGAAAGGACAGCCTAAGGTAATCTATGAATGGACGGAGGGTCACTGTCACCCCCTGGGGGGAGGGGTGTGCCACTACAGTGTGCACCAATACTTGACAGCGGTTGTGTGGAGAACAGACACGGCAGGAAACGGCAGCACCGTGCTCTAAGCGGACTCGCTGTGCGAGGTCTGGCTGGGCTACTGATGAGCACAGCACACGCCACGACCCCCCACCTCTGCACCCCCGGCAGCTCAGCTATGAAAGTGGTGTCACAGCGTGAACCCAGAGTACAATGACTCTTTCAGGGTAAAACTACATGATGTGCCAAATTCCCCCCCCCCCCCCCGCCCCCCGAAAAAGCAGGGCGACGTGAATACAAACACTGTGTCCTCAAATGAAGTGTCGGGAGTTTTTCAACTAAGACACTGCACCCCCTCCCCCCTACCCGATATCCACTTAAACCATAACCCACAGCCTGCTGGGCTGGCCTCCTTCCAGTGGGAGGAGGGAAATAAAGTGTAGATCCCAAACACAGCAATAACACATGGGAAAATGAATTCTGGTATGCAGAATTACTGTGTAATAAAATAGCACAGTGTGATGCCGTTACGGTCCACGTAAATGCAACGCACAATCCGAGGTTTACAAAGTTGCAATGCGAGAGAGATGGACTCCTGGGGGGGGGAGGGGGGTTGGCAGGCCTCAGAGGGACTCAAGGAGAACAGAATCACAGCCGGTAAGGTGACAAAGGGCACATCACACTCGCAATGGGCGACCAACATGCTAATGAACTGGTGCTAAACAGTATTTAAGTAATGCATCAGTAATTCTCTGTGCTGACGCAGCACTGTCACGACTGGAGAACAAAAATCACACAGAAATAAAGGGAACACGGTTAATTAAACGACACACGTGGCACGGACGCTCTTTGAGGTGGTAAATTCCCTTCTAGCCTACGCGGCGGTGCACAGGGACAGCCACAGACAAACGTGCAGTCGGTCAGGAGAACCGGGTAAAGGGCCTCGTACTTCACTCAGATTCATTTTTTCTAAAACAGACGCAGGAGTTCAAGAACTGATCCACTCAGCAGCCTTTGAAGGTCCCCACCGCACCATCATAGGAGCTTAATGGGACACCTTCAGTGCAGCCCCTCCACTGGGGATGGGGACTCCATCGTCACACATCAAAGGCCTACTCTGGACCTGATCTGGAGGCTTCTCTATTAACTTAGCTGTGTGTTCGTGAGCCACAATGGCTATGGACTCACTTGAGTAACTGCAGAGGATGATCTGGTTTTAAGAGGGTGCCAGTCTGTGGTGAGAACATTCAGCTTGCTGAAGTCCATTTGGGATGCCACTGCCGTGCTCCTCTAATGTGGCATGCAGACCCTTGTTGGCGGGCGACACAGGTGGCACCGGCTGGAGGTGACTCCGACTCTCCTCATACTCGGGGAACGTGAAGACATGCCTCCTTAAGTCACTCATAATAATCAAGCGCGGGCCAGAATCTAGTTAGAAATGGGCAGCCTGGTTCTCATCACGGGCCTGAGGGCAGAGCCACCCTGATGTGGACACATCCCGACCCGATGTGGCAGGAATGCGGAGCCTCTCGGAACCGGGGGACTCCAGGGTACAGGCAAAGACAACACATACTAAAAACATCAAAAGAATCTCAGGGATTTTTGCCTGCTGTGGCACCTCACCGATTCCTCGTTTAATCACCCTGTCTGGCCATCTCTGCCCATCGCCAGGGCTTCAGAGCACATATCCCGGCCCAGAATCGACATCTCACATTGCCAATGTGCACCGGAACTTGGTTCTAGGGTCATTTTAGGGAGAGAGACCTGTGACGGCAGATTGGCGTTTGAAACTCCGGGGACCTTTTCAGAAGTAATAAAAACCTCATAAAGGAACTGGAGGCAAGCAGGAAGACAACACAGAGCAGGGACAGAGCCCCCCCTGTGCTTCAAAGAGTAAAGAGCAGCAGTGCACCTCCTCCCCCAGGAAGAGAGAGATAACAGAGTCTTTCAGGGGTCTTGGGGAGCGGAGCAAAAGCAGCACAGAGGGGAGGCCAGGAGGAGCATCCTACACAGCGACATTCAAGCGATGCCTGGGCCAACGCAGACAGGAAGGAGAACAGGAGGAGCGTGGGGGCGACAGTGAGCGACGTGCAAGGACAACATGTGGCGAGTCGCATGACGGCGACCGACGCAGCTCTGCATGGGGCTGACTGAACACAGCTGAACACGGCTCGATAACATCTGAACAAGAACACCTGCGGATCTCACGGCACACAGTGGGCAGCATCCGTGCGCGTATGGCGAAATTACTGCGTTCGTCACAATCCTATCCGCCTGGTAAAGCCCAGCCCAGCCAAGTAGGTAATGTTTAATCTAATTCTTGTGACAAATTGCCAGCATTTACACCTGTTTTAGGGTAATGATTGACGGCAGTTAAACACACAAACGTGCCAGATGTTTATCCTGAAACATGACAGTCTGTGGCTGTCGGACTTCCTCTGATGTCCAGGTATGTATCCAACCGCCCCATACAGACACACACATGCACAAACAACCCCCTACCCACCCGCCCAGAGCAGGACGGCCATGTCTCATGGCCATGGTACGTTCATCAAAACAAGTTAGCCAAGAGGACTAAAGGGGTGAGACCCTACAGTACGTCCTACTGCAAATGGTTACTCTACAGAAATGCATGAATACGCCAATTTACTTCACGGCTAAAACTTTAAACAGTGCCTGGTATGTATCCCAGTAAAACTTCACATAACACATACATATTATCCCTCAATCATTCGCTCTTTTCCTGAACATTTCACCCCCCAGCCTGTGTAGTGATTCATACATACAGGTCTATAGGTTAACTACAGGAAACCACAGTCTGGAAGGACACGGGGATACTGAGGGAGCGGTGCCAGTGAAAGCAAACACCTTCATTAGCTGGCATACCCTGCCCACCATGTAGCAGAAAAATGTCAGTTACACATCAACACTTTGTCCAGTCAAACTCAAAATAACAACATTACCCAGCCTGCACTTCAGGAGACACCACCTGGTCTAGATGACCCAATCATATCACCAGGTCCAAATGACCCAATCATATTTCCCCCAGCTTCTGAACAGCATGCAACAGACTTGTTCAAATGACACCTTAACCTGCAGCAGATATTGACTTCATGAACTACATATGAAAGTGCAATGCTGCAGAAAATTGCTACCTCAAACTAAAAGTTACTGCATAAACGGCTTAGCAACCAAACATGATTTTTGCAAGAGAAACCTTGAGAAAAGGAGAAGATCATGATTTCTTAGATAGCTTTGTAAATTGAATCGCAATTGACTTGAAACAAATTTGTGTATAAATCAGCC